CACACTCCTTCCTTCCAGCTAGATCCTTGGGAATACAGAGCAGCTGAAATCTCGCAAGAACACGCTCTTACAATGGACTAGTGTTTTCTCATGAGATTCTGCCTGCTTTGCAATCTTCCTTGAGGAATGGCAACACCACCCCTAGTGATGTAGAAGATGGGGGTAAGGTAAGTAGAAATCCAACCTTTTTCTTTACAGGTACATATTACACCTACTAACAGTAGGAGATTCGTAAAGGGGGAGAGGGCCCAGGCAATTTAAATGGACCTTGCATTTGACTGCAAGGTACACCCTAATATATTCTTATTTGTCCTATCTCAACACAATGAAGAGGCAACATTTAAGAGCAGATATGGTTCTTTAATTAAAGTATATGTGTGGGGAAAAAAAAAAGTTACAGAACCTTTTGTGCCCTAAATAGCACACCTCAAGCTGTCTAGACCCTGGCTCCCTTCCCCTAGAGAGCTCCGGGCCACCCTAAAACTTTGGACACGCTGTAATGTATTTGAGAAACAGCTTTCACAGTTACTGATTTGGTTGTGCAGAGAATTTGCCATATGAAGACTTTAGAAACCAACACTGTAGTGACCTAGGGGTAGGTAGGAGGAACCACGATGCATAGTGGTGGACCAGAAGAGTCTTCATTCATCGGTTCCTCTGTATTGTGACTCGTACACAGGCATACGTTTCCTGAGTTTTAAAAGCAGGTTAAACGCAGGTCAGCAAATTGCTAGTGACATTAACAGAGCAGTAGTACACATGGCAGTTCAAAGAATGTGTTTGACCTGCTTTGGATTTAACTAGTTTTTTGACATAGCATGCTTTGCTTTATTGAGACGCATTTTAACTACAAGCAAAACAAGACAAATGCAGCACTTACTTGTCAAAAGCAGCATTTTTCATCCAAACGCATACAGCTGCAGTTTAGAAAAAAAACCCGTCGAGCCCTTGAATGTGTTCAACAGCATGGGCAGCTGGAGAGAAAAATATGAATGCCTTATTTAAGGCTCCTTCACACAGCTGTTTATGGCCGTACACCATGCAAATCAGCATACTGCTGCTGCAGGTATGGGCAGATGCTTCTGATTCACTGTGGCTATACAAATCAATGGGAGGCTGGCAAGCACTGCAGCTGTCCAGATGTATTCACACATGGAGCAAATACCTGCATTTAGGGACAAATGAGAGGCCCTGAACACAAACAGTCTGCATACATGGCTGCTCATCTGCCCCAGCCCCACATTATGAGTTCTTGATGTCAGGATGCATACTTTTAAAAGCAGGAAAAAAAATATTTAGATCCAGGGCTATAGCAGCTATTGCAGAATGCATTGTGATGGCCTGTAGAATACATGAACAGAAGTGTGATGTACCATCACTAGCTAACTAAAGGCTCATCGGACTACAGTCAGAAACATTTCAAGGACACAGACATTTCCAGTCTTGATAATCACAGCTAAAACAGGGTCTGCTCCAGGAATTTAGGCTCTTGTGGTCAACCCATCAAAAAGCCAACCAAATCACAGCAATAGCATACATGGCAGTGGCAATGGCATACAAAAGCAGTGTTCTGTTAGGAAAGTAGGCATATGTAAACATTCTGTTAATCTAATATAACACAGGTCTGTTGTGGCGAGCCAGTAACTTGTGTGGTATTTGTGCAGTCTTGTACGAAGGGAAATACAATAAAAATCAATAGACTGGAGCCCCACTAGATTGGCACTATAATATATACATGAAAAACATCATATGTTTTAAACAAAATGTAAAAGGTTGCAGGTGTTGCTTCACATGTGGATACTATTTAACATGATGAAAGACTTAAATGTCTATGCAACATACTGCAGACTACTCCGGCAACTGAAGCAACAGTAAAATATAAGCCAAATTCAAACAAACATAGCACATGTACTAGAAGGATACAGAGGTGTTAGAAGTATGGAGAAAGTTTGGAGTGATTGCCTGTATTGGCAAACTTAAGTTAATAAACTTTCAGGATGCCTTAGGTCCCTTTGACAGTTTTTATACAATTGATAAATACAATTGATCTAAGGCATCTGGAAAGCTTGCATGTTTAATAACTTAAGTTAGCTAATAAAGGGGATAACTTTAACTCTCGTCTCAAACTCTTTGCATTAATCGATAGCGAACACAGTAGAAAACTCTACTACTGCAAACACGGGGACAGTATTTTTATTAATAAACATGAAAAACTAAACCATCCAGCGATGTACAGCTCTGGCTAAAGAACACAAGCAGCGCTTTGATGTTTCTCTCTACCTCTGCATGTTCAACAATATGTGTTACAGAAAAGGGAGGGAGGCAAGAAAACACAAAGGACAAACTTTGTAAAAAAGGCTTTTTATTACCATTGCGAAAACAGCATTTGGTTTGGGTTAGACGATTTAAAGCTGAACTCCAGGTGGATAACCCCACCCCAAAAAAACAACAACTATTTTATGTAGCGGTGTATTATTTAAAAATAATTATATGTATTTTGTAAAACAGCTAGAATAAGTACCTGAATCTGTCTTGGTATCGGCCTCGCACTATCCCCTCCATCTTAGTTCGGGAGACGGGCATTAAAAGCCAACAAGGTTCTGCTACATGTTCCGACAGAAAGCTAAAGCAGGGTTGAAGACTTAAGAGTGATGCTGCTCCTTCATCCTCAGGTCAGCAGGATGCTGGCAGTAAGGTGACACCATTGTACTCCTTCACTTCATAAGAGCGAGTGATGCCACCCTCCAGGCTGTGCGGCAGAGGTGTATGAATCACAAAACAAGCTGGACATACTGTATATTACAGATCCTTTGGCAGATAATCTGCAGTGCAGTTCAGATGTGTACTTAGCCATCTGCCTAGAGTTTAGTTTTAAGGTAATTCAAGGGTAGGCAACCTTGTTACTACAGCTGTGGAGAAATTACAAAACCCATGATGTTTCTGCCTGTGACTCTCGGTCTTTTAATGACTCATGGGACTTGTAGTTTCACAGTAGCTGGGGGTGCCAAAGTTTTGTATTGGAACATAAGTAACCCTGCTTCAAAAATACAATTCGCCATGTATGCAACGTGTATATAAATAGCTTTTTGACTCTTCGACATTTAACATGATAGGCAAAATAGGCCCAGAAGTGTTACTTTATCAAGTGTCCATTTAGCAAAAAGCAAAGTTCCCCAGGCAAAGAAGTCAACAGCCCCTTCAGGACTATCTTCTCAGGCCAACAAAGGCGAATACACAGCAGTGTACAACTTTCAGATGTAGCTGAAAACCTGTCAACTATAATAAACTTTTAAAAGGTCCTGTTGAAAAGAAGTCATGATAAGACTAATACTTTTGTTAGGCAGAAAACCCCTACTTTGTGTTTCTCAAACCAGTTTCACTTTATGTAAAATGCATTTGACTCCACCGCTATAACAGCCATGGGTATACCGCGTGCCGACCAAAGGAGTTCGCCTTTGTTCCATGGACGATCCATGCACACAACAGGTCACATCACTGGTGATGTCACTCACAATTACATTTAATCCACAAGACAGAATTCAACTAAACGCTGCAGCCCCAGTCCAAGCACAGACTGACAGGTTTTATCCATACGGACTCAAGCATAGATCACTTTGTTACTAGCGACTGCTAATTGCCATCTTCACTGCCAATATCACACAGGCGATTATGTTTACTGGCTCAAAAAAAATAGCCAAATCTCAATCACTAGTCAGAGACTGACATCTTGCTGGTCTGGCTAGCGAGGGAGTGACTCCATAGTGGTTTGTTAGCAAGTTGCCACCAGCAACAGAATCACATGTGTGCCATAGGCCTTTGGGATCATCTTACTGGATCAGGAATGGCAGTCAGTAACCCCCAATTCTAAGGTCAGGCCTCTAATAAAGTAGAACTTCTGCCTTGCAGTACTTGGGGGTCCCTAGTTTAAATTCCGGTCAGGACACTATCTGCAAGGAGTTTGCATATTCTCCCTGTGCTTGTATAGGTCTCCTCCAGGTAGTCTGGTTTCCTCCCGCACTCCAAAGACATGCCGAAACATTAATTAGTTCATAGGGACCTTAGATTGTTAGCTCCTTGAGAGCAGAGACTGATGTGAATGTGTAAAGCGCTAAGTATATTGTCATTGCTATATAAATACCTGTAATAAATAAAATAAGCTAGCTATGGAATGGCACACAAATGAAAATGCGGCTTGTGGTGTCTGCTGTTAGGCAGAACTTTTAATTTTGAATCTCACCTACTTTAAGAGTAATAAATGCTAGTTATTTATGTACAGTACATATTGCTTTGGATATATACTAATAGCTACATTTACATATATTAGTATTATTCTGTGGGAAAAATCCTGCTCATTGCTTTGGTTTCCAGCAAATGGCAGCTTTCATATGGATAAATGGCACGATGTGTAAAATGCACAGTGCTACAACATAAAGAAAGATAAGTGTGATTGTAACCATAAAACAAACAGTAATAAATCTGAATCCAAAAAAAAAAAAAATGTGTCATGTAGTACAACCTTTCAAATAATTGGTTACATGTTTGATTGAATTTAATGCAAAGCAAATTAACATATGATCTTCAGTATTTTAAACCAACAAATTTATTATAAAAAACATAGTTTTCAAATCTTGCCTGTTACCTTAGCATGATTAAAAAGATGTAAAATAACTTTATAAAAAAAAAAAAAAAAAAAAAAGAAAGAATTCAAATGTTTCCTATTCACTCAATTCACACGCTGGACGTTTTCCTTGGTTACGCAGCAAGTAAAACTGGGAATTGGGATTTGGAGCAGATGTATAGCAAGTAATAACAAGGATGAGACACACTTGGGGGCTGAGTTATAAAACACCTAACCAACATAAAGCTGGCCGAATAATCTTCTCAGAGCATTTACTGCTACTGGATGGCGACAAGGGCGTAGGAACTTCCTATGCTCCTCAGCTCCATCTAATGGCAGTAATGCCCTGTGAACATTGTTTGTCCAGCTTTACGCTGGGCAAATGCTATATAAAAATCAGACAGACTAGACTTCTACCATGCCAGTCCTTTGGGGTGTTTTGGCTTTCCTTTCTTTTTACCACGCTCTGCCTTAAGCTTCTTTCTTTGTCTTGGATTCATCCATACAGGATATTGGCCATGCTGGTCTAAAAGGCTCTTTTTGTTCCGTTTTCCATCGGTGTCCATTTTCATGTTGGAGGCACCTATTGGTGAAATGAAAATATCAGGACTAGAACAAGTGCTGTTAACCAGAGGCATTTTCTCAATTCAGTTATGGACTTATTATTTGGGAAGAACTTTATTACTTACAGCACAAAAGAGGGACATAAAAAAACCGCACATTGTACACATAGAAAATACACTTCTTTCCAGTGTGAACAGTGATAACATTAAAAGTGGTTGTACTAGATACAAAAGTACTAACTTGGCACATCCTGACGAAGCACCAATGTGGGAGGGGCAAAACGTGTAGACGCGGGTTGACGCTGTTTGAACACCAGGCTGGATGACCACAGCACCCTATATGTATGGGTAAAATATTGTAATGGATAACGGACTATTTACATCCGGATACATGGTTAAAGTCTAAAAGCTAACCAGGAGTGACTGCAACAAGAAGACCTTTCTCCCAAAATGGATAAGATGTGATCACATCCGCAAAGATATAACGCCATTCTGAATGAAAACAATTCATGTGAGCAACGACTTCAAAAAACACACGGGAATTCCTGATGCATTTTTTTGCAATCCTATTGTTCAAATATATCACTTCCGAACGATACAGCCTTTTAAAAGACTGAGTTCAAAATGAGAGAAACACTCTCCACTGTCTGAATCTCATATAACCAAAGTGATTGGCAAACAAAAAGCCCCAAGTATGTTTCCTACATAAGTGATACTAATTAACTACCAACAATATGGCTACTAGCTAATTTGCAAATATCTCACGGTGATCCTATTGCATACAAAAAGAAATCCTCCGAATTGGCCTTTTGACGTTAAGGAATGAGGAAACATTTCAAGTGGTGTCTACTGACATAAACGTATATGAACTATACCAGTCTTACTACTTTTCTGAAGTGCCCATTAACCTTCTTGATTTGATATCAATCAGCTGTTTTCCTTAACTGCTATTTATGTTGTTGCATTATACTCATGAATCGGAGTTAGTTCATGACACCATCTATTGCATGGCTACACTGAGTACCGTTACACCATTACATATGAATTCTGATTACTTCTATGTGGAACATCCATCCTATTTATGTATGTCTTGAAGTCTGCAGACTATGTATGTTTTTAACTCATTAGGTATTGGACAGTGGTCTCTATCTACCTTTTTGATAATTTTGATATCTTTGTAAAAATAAAATACATGTAATATATAATTTTGTCTGTCCCGACTCGTTAAGTGACCTCTTGGTTTGGCTAGACCTATGGCCAACCCTCTGTTTTCCGATTGCTCCCATGATGGACTACAATCAAAATTACAAACTAGTAGTCCCATCACTGGAGCAATTTTTAAAAATACGATTAATTGAACTTCGGCTAACTAGTCTATTTTGAAAATCGTTAGTGGCAGCCCTAGCTCCATGCAATTCGGATTTCACTACACAGCACTCAAAAGAAAAGCAGTAAAAAGAAACACCCTGCTGTGATAAAATACATATTAAAAAGAAAAGAAAGAAATAGTTATAATATAGTTGAATAATTCCACCATGCAGGAAAATGAGCGCTGGCCTGTGGCGGGACATGGGGTTTATGCTGCTGCTATGTCCCTCAGTGTCCGAGACAGACCCTCAACAGTAAATCAGGGGGTCCCAGCACTGTGATCACTGTCATAGCCAATGCCATTGATCACAGTGCTGTTACTGCCACTGAGCTGGCTTGCAGCTCATCACACTTTTGTGGAGTTGAACAAGTAGGATCAGTCTGCTACAAAATGTCTCCTCAGAATACCGACAGGGTTATTCACAAAAGGGTGAAGAGTTTGAAGACAGGAGAAGTGAACAATCTAGACCAAAATAACTGATTTGAAAAAAATTCTCCAATTCAGCTCACTTTCCAGTTCAGCTATGTTGTCCTAGATTGTTCACTTCTCTAAACTCGTCACCCTTTTGTGAATAACCCTGCAAGTATCCGAAGCCCCTGTGATTAAAAAAAAAAAAAATTAACCCTTTAGTCCCCTCTAGTTTAAACACACAAAAAAAAGTTTTAAACAGTGTTTAGGTTTTTTTTTTTAATGTTAAAAAAAGAAAAAAATATGTTTAATCAAAAAAGAAAAAAATATAGTGCCAAGGAGAATCTTAAAGTTAGGAGACAAACATATTACATTCTAAATTTGTATTTCACTCCTTTATTTTAGGAGTTATAGGTCACAAAATACAACTGAAATCCCAGACATATGATATACCCTATAAATCAGGCCAAATAAAATAAATTTATTTTGAATTACTTGTTAGCTACATTAATTATGTACACATTATTATTGCCAAACCTGTGAAAATGATTTAAAAAAAAAGAATTTATATGCATTTGTCACATCAAATTTAAGCCCATTTTGTTCTTTAAAAATTGGTATATAATGTGCAGGTGCAATGAATAGGGAAGATGGAAATTATGGTTAAACACATAGCAAAAATGGCATAATTGCTCCGTTCCCCAGCAACTAAACTTTTCTGAAGCGGTGTCACAAAGGGGTTAATGCTGACATCTGTTGTGGTACAAAGGTAAGAAACCGAGAACTAATGATCTTGCCTAGCACAGACTCATCTCAGCCATCAAGGACATGGAATGTTTACCTAAAATTATTGCTGCCTAGCCCATAACATATTCCCACAAATGGACACTCTTGGGCTTTTCACGCAAGATGGATGACATAATTTTATTAAGAACAGCACAACAAACTAAAAACATCCCCCCTTTACAATTCTTGTGGTTCAAAAACAGCATGCTGATGCCAACAGATTGAGAATGACAAGATTTGGGCAACAGAACAAGCAGACCACAAATGGTCAAATGACAGCACATTACAACCTTGGTGGGCAGAAATAAAAGAATGTCAAATAACGAAAAAAAATAAAATACAACAAATAACTGATAATAGAATAGTCTGAATTTATGTTTCATGCTGCTGGCAGATGAACACTTGTTATAAAAAAAAAAAAGTATGTTTGCGGTTCTTGGAAACAAAGTGGCTATGAATAAAGATGCTGTGCAAAAACAGTACTCGGAGGAACTGAAATATTACGTAGTAATCTCTGTACATGAAGTCTGCCAGGAAAACATTCTTTGCACCAAGAGCTACAGCCCCATAATTTTATACTTTGTATTTTCAACAATACATTACAGCAACCCACAAACCCTATATAATCAGTGCTACTCAGACCACCTTCAGCTGAAATACTACAGCAAAGAATCTAACAGAGCACAAGAAGCAATGAAGTCCGTATGTTACATTATAGCAAAGCCAAAAGCCCAGCACAGTACATTTTGGCACCAGAAACAAATGTGAATTACTGTGTAACTACCCATGATTCTGACCTTGAATCTCACCTCAACAATTACCCTTATAGTTCCCGCTAGCGGTAAACGCCAAACCCCTAAAGCCTAAAGCTGAACTCCCGGCAAACAGCAAAAGACACAAATATAAAATACATACAAGGAAGCAGTTTTACCTACAGAAAACTTTTTCATCTACTTTTGAAATTAATTTTCTTGGAGCACCATACGGTACACAAGATCAGTCCTACATGTTGGTTATACTGCCACCTTAAGGTGATTCGACACTGACAAAAAAAAAGCTGCAAGGACAGCCCAGTATAACCCCGCCCAGTCCCAGCAAGCCACAGTTTGTAGCCGGCAATAGGGAGATCATAAGAAACAGGGGAAGGACCCATGTCCAGTACAGGACTCCAAAAAAGGTTTACAGGTTGGTCAAAAATTCCCTCTTAATTGTACAATACAGGACACAGGATCAGTCTTAACCAAGGGACACCTAAAGTCCAACTGAGGAGTAGACAGCACAGTAACCAAAGACTAACAGGCCCATGCAACAATGAGCCAAGAGGGCTTGTCAACTCAACTTGAAGCACCTTACACCTAAACCTTGCAGCACCAAATGCCGGATGCTGAAAAGGCCACGAAGCACTAACAGGTCTGATAGAGTGTGCCTTAACTGGGAAGGGAGGAACCCTCTCCTTCAAGACCATAAGCTGGAATGATGACTTGTCTAAACCACCTAGCAATAGTGAATGGGAGGGCAGGAAGCCCCCTACCGGAACATTCCCAAAGGACAAAGAGGGAATGTGCTTGCCGAAAATAAGCTGCAGCAGAGAGGTGGACTCTCTGTCCACTGTCTGGATGTGGTACATGCTGTGAAACTACCTTTGGATGCTTTGGGGAAGAACATAGAGAGAAAGGCAATGTCCACCACGTCAGAGAGCCTCATGATACTCCCTCGAAGGAGGCCACCATTATATTTATTTTTTATTCTTTATCTTATCTTGTTTTCAAAAGTTTACATAATACGTAAAAAATAGCAGTACAGAAAGGTATTCAAGTTACATTCTGTGTATGATTGTTCCAACAAGGTCAATTCAGTGCCTTAAAAAAAAAACCCACATAATTTAACCATGAAAGCACCAAAGGGAAAAAAAAAAAGAACGTCTTTTAATATGGGTTACTGCCCCGATTCTTTATTGGTAAGGATATTCTCTCTCGATTTGGGAAAGAGATGAGGAAAATGAGGAACATCCGGCGTGGCGCCCCACTGGTAATATGGAAGAGGTATCTATATATTTCAGAAAACACGTGAGTCCAGGGTGCCAACTTACCGTATTTTTCGCTCCATAAGACGCACTTTTTTCCCCCCAAAAGGAGGGGGGAAATGTGCCTGCGTCTTATGGAGCGAATCCCGACGCCCGAGACATGCAGTTTCGGGCGCCGGGCGAGTAGTAGGAGCCACTGCTCGTTCAATACGAGTGATCTAATGAGATCACTCGTATTAAAACCGAGCAGCGGCGACGATCGAGATCACCATAGAGCAGAAGAAGAACGGACTTTCTTCGTCTGCTCTGTGTGATCACTGAGACCGTGGCGCTGTAATTACAGCGCCACCTGTCTCAGCGGTCACTAACTGCAGCTTCTGTCATAGAAGCTGTGTCAGAAGCTACAGTCTGTCGAGTGCTCCATAAGGCGCGCC